CTGTCCCCAACCTGAAGGCACAGGGATTCGACCCTCTAATCCACTGGGGTAAACCCCAACACGAGACAGCTGAGCTGGGGGGCAAAATGCAAACCCACCCCAGCCCGCCGCCGCTCCCCATGGGCCACTCCAAAGTAGAAGAGAGTCCAGCCCCTCTCAAGGAGATGGGTTCCATAGCCCTCACTGTGCGTGGAGGCAAGCCCGACTATTTCTAGTCGATATCTCTCAACCTCCCGCACAAGCGCAGGCTCTTTCCCCCCCAACGAGGTGACATTCCACGTCGCTAGAGCCAGCCTAAGCACCCGGGGATCGGGCCGGCGAGGTCTCCACCTTCATCCGCCGCCCAATCCTCTTTGCACCGGTCCCGCACGGTTCCCCCTCAGGTCGTGGGCCCTCTGGGGGATTGGGGCCTCGCGTCTCTCGTTCGGCCTTGGCCTGGCCGGGTCCCACGAGGAGCAAACCCGGGCCACCAGGCGCTCTCCAACAAGTCCCGACCCCAGGCCTGGCTCCAGGGTGGGACCCCGGCTCCGCCGTACCGGGCGACGTCACGTGCCTCGATTTAGTAGTCCTCATGAAGGTGTCTTGAACCGCTCTTTGTCTGACCTGTAACCTAGAGCCTGTTTGCCATGGGAGACCCTACAAGGGGCATTTAACCCCCAGACAACATAGCCACTAGGATCATTCAAGCACTCAAACCCCTCCCCCATGTTAAAGTGGCGGTTCAAGGAGGGGGCACCAGAGATAATACAAAGATATTTCTGTTTCAGCAGCTTGTCTACAAGTTTTACTCACTCACATTCCACTATTGGCATGAAGCCCACCCATACATACACTCAGGTTGGCCAGTTAAACTAAGATGCATGTCTTGATGCTATGGGAGCAACCCTGAAAACCCATGCATGCGCAGAGAGAAAATGGAAAAACACAGAAAGTTTTCACCTCATCAATATAAAACCTTTTCAATGGAGCACTGCTGGTGGAGTGGTTAAAACAGCTGCTCTACATTCTTTGTTCCATTTAAATATTCTTTTTTCAGTTTTAGCAGCCCTGTTGCCTGATCCTAGTCCGCTTTCACTAGACTTCATTATACAGCATTATTGATGGCAAGTTTGATCTTCTATGCGGTGCCATTAAACTGTCGTCTTTTTTGTAACACAAAGTATTAACGGCTTAATGTCTCTCCATAAATTACCTGATGACCACTATGACACAAATAACCATGTGTCAAGGTTCTGGAGGAAAATACATTCTGAAGTACAGATGGATCCTTCAGCAGTGCAGTAATAGGCTAAAAGTCATTAACATAACATTAATTCCTTTATTAGGGATACTGGAAACAAATAGCTTTTCAAAAATTCTGACTTGTAGCCAGTCCACTGTTGTATGTGAGAGGGGAAATTGACTTAGGCTCGGGTATAATACTTCTGGAAGGCTTAGAAATGACTGTTCACTGTTTTATTTTCACATGGTTTTTGATTATTTTATGCTCAATATGTCCTCGTCTCCCCTTTTCTTCTACGTGTGTATTCTGACGTTTGGCCTGTTTTTACCCCCCTCATCCTTCTTTCTTCCCCCTCAGACAAGGCTTGATTGTGCTGTCAAAGCTGTGATTGTGTACCAGTGTGTAATTAGTTAATGAGATCAACTTTAGTTGTCCCAACATGGGAATAGCTCTGACAGGATTGTTGGTGTATGTGTGTGTTGCCTATTGCCCACTTTTCCACTTACCAGCTTCCAAGGTGTTCAAGATGGCTGCACGACATTCATCCAACGTTAAAAATACATATTTTCTCTGCAAGTGTTAAGGTTTCATAGAATATTTGGGCATTTTAATCTATAGATGAAGCATTTGCTCCCAGTGTCATTGTTTTAAAAGCAGGCTTATGTAGTCGCGACCTGCTCACTTGGAGATAGTTTCGTTTTTCTTCCCACCTCCCTGAAAGTTTGACTATCTGTTAGGCTTCACCAGCTGTGTCAACTTTCCAAGCCATCACCATCTGATGGCTATAAAGTCCATTTTAATTTGAAATGCCATTGCATTTTCACTTTTTGGATTTATGCCCATTCATTATTCATATTTCACTTTGCCATATCTATATTCAGCTCTGTGTGCTCAAGGTCCCTGGAGATTAGGGACCTTGATCACAGGGTAAATCGTTCCAGTAGAAGGTTTGATGCAATTGGACGTGAATTTATAAAAATGTACTCCTCTAAGCTAGTTTAAGATTACTTCCTCTTCTCTAAACAGTAACATTCACAGACTACTTGACAATATAAAAGTTATCTTGCTTGTCCAAAGGATGAAAAATGTATTTTTGGTATTTGTGAAACACAAGTTTAAAATGCCCAAATAAATATTTAGAGACAAATACCAACTAAAGTTTTGTACAATTCAGTTTATTTATAAACACAAATTCATAAAAAAGGTCTCAAAACACTTTACAAGACAAACAGATCGAGTTTATTTACATAAATATATAAGTAAATCAATTCAATCATACAGATATTCAAACCTTAAAGCAATGCACTCAAGCTCAGTTTATTATGCCAACTAGTACAATGCTTTCTTCATAATTTAACCCAAATGGTTTCATTCAAGCATTAACTCTGCAGCAATCCCTAATATTGAGCCAGCATGTGGTGACAGTGGAGAGGGAAACTCGTTTTTAACATGAATAAACCTCCAGCACAGTGGTTCCCAACCCTGGTCCCCAGGCCCCACTGCCCTTCATGTTCTAAATGTGCTTCTGCTATAGCACACTTTATTTAAGTAATTGCTTTCTCAACATGCCATCAAGTGCTGGAGAAGCCTGTTAATCACCCATCCAATTAAATCAGGTGTGTGGTAGCAGAGAAACACAGGACATTGGTGCCATAAAGCCCAGGGTGGAGAAACACTGTTCTAGCAGAACCTGGCTTGGTGTGAACAGCCATCGGCCACAACCAACCGGGGGGTTGAGAAGTCAGAAAAGATACACATAAAAAAAAAAAAAAAAAAAAACAGAAGCCCTGCTCTGGGAGTACTCTCTGTTAAAGAAAAGGCGAAGAGTTAATGGCAGCAGTAGCTCCTTAAGAGGCTTCATCTAGAATAGAAACACAGCTGAACAGATAAGAACTGCGTCAGGAGGACATTCTAGAAGAGGATAAACAGAGCAGCTTGTAACTAGTGGCAGCAGTGGATCCTTCCATGAGTTTCTAAAGCAGTGAAACAGGGTTAAACACAGACGGATGCTAAAGGGAGGTTTTAGGAGGCGGTGATGGTAAAGCTCAGTGCACCCTTAAAAACAGCCACTTAATTATTAAGATGGAGAGTTGAAAATATTAAATCAATGTAATTGTAAACAACTTTTTGTTGGTTTCCCCTTTTCCTGCCAAATGACTGAGGTTGTTTCTAAGATTTACATCATGCTGCATTGACTGTTTTAGGTAATGGATGTTAACATATAATTACAACAATGTTTTGCATGGCACCTCTGTTTCAACAGCCTTTATGTGATGTGTTGGCCCGATGCATGTCTCTGTCAGTGAGGTCGGTAATTGTCAATGTCGCAGCAGAGTTGAACTGCATAAAGTCCTGCTGTGATGGCTGATGTTGCAGGAATGACTTGAAGGTTTTAGCTGAATGAGACACAAGGGAGCAGATCTGTCCTACTCTCCCTGTTGCCTCACTTCCCTTTCCCCATATGTTTGTGTGTTTGGCAGAACTTCTGATTGAAAAACAGATATCAGGCTTGCTCGTTTAATAATTGTGTCTCCTGTTTTGTTTCCTTCAAATGCAGTGAAACAGACCTGTACAGTTTGGTGATTTGAAGGAGACATATTCATGGGACATCTTGATAAACTGATATTGTCATAAACACACACCTACAAATGTTTGTGTTCCCTCCAAAGTGCCTTGAAGAAGAGCCTGATTACTCATGCTGCACAGATGGTGAAGCCCATTCACACTGATGCCATGGGGCACAGCTATACTCCAGTTGCACTGGGTATGAACCACAGCAGGAGATGGACACCAGCACACCCAGTGTTGATTTTTTGACACAGTCTTCAGCTCTCTCAGCATGAGGGTGTTTAGACACCATCTGTCCTTAGCATCTCAATTCCACCCCCCACCCCACAGAATCACACACACACACTCACACACACAGACACACACATCCATTTTTTACTATCTTTATGAGGACTTTTCAGTTACTTCCGTTGACTTCCATTCATTTTCCTTGATCTTTAGTGCCTAACCCTGACCCTAACACTAACCCTAACCCTAACTCAATTCATACCCTAGTCCTAAACCTAACCCCTGTCCCAAGAACGGAATTTGGAAAAGTGAGGACCAGGAAAATGTCCTCACTTTGTCAAAATGTCCTCACTTTGCGGTAAAAATACGAAAAATGGTTCTCACTCAGCAAAAAGTACAAGAACACACACACACACACACTCTGTTCCAACTCTACAAATCCACTTGATCGATTTTAGGCATCCTCAGGTTTGAGTTGAAATCCTTCTCACCTGACCAAGCGACTGCAAACTGCTTCTTATGACCTTCGCCAAATGTCACACCATCCACTTTATTGCTTTTCAGTTATGATCGCATTTCCCGCTCATTATTGGCCTGCCACTTCACTTTGCTTTACCCACTTCATGCAACAACCACTTTTTTGCATTACTTTTATTCCACTTTAGAGTACTATTTTATTGGTCTTCATGATTTAAACCACAGCTGAACTATACTGTACTTGATAGACAGAGCACCTTTTTGCTTAATATTACCTGCTAGATTTCTCCCATGTTCTTCTGATTCAGTCTTTAGAGTGTTAGCCTCCCTCTAAAAACAAGTGCTAAACACCCTCCCAGTTTGCAGGCTACTGAGGGAAATTCTGAGGCACAAACTTGCAAGGGCCAGCAGGATGTAAATTAATCTTAAGATTAGATCTTGATGAGTTTTTACCCCCCCCCCCCACCAATGTGTTCATTTATAGAAATATGTATTTGTAGTAGGCTGCACGGTGGCGCAGTTGGTAGCACTGTTGCCTTGCAGCATCAAGGTGCTGGGTTCGATTCCCGGCCGGGGGTCTTTCTGCATGGAGTTTGCATGTTCTCCCCGTGCATGCGTGGGTCCTCACCGGGTACTCCGGCTTCCTCCCACAGTCCAAAGACATGCCTGTTAGGTTAATTGGTCACTCTAAGTTGCCCTTAGGTGTATGAATGAGTGTGTGCATGGTTGTTTGTGTGTTGCCCTGCGATGGACTGGCGACCTGTCCAGGGTGAACCCCGCCTCTCGCCCGCAGACTGCTGGAGATAGGCACCAGCTCCCCCGCGACCCACTATGGAATAAGCGGTAGAAAATGACTGACTGACTGTATTTGTAGTAAGTAATTCTCACAGATCTCTCTGAATGGGTCCATGCAGGTGTGTTTTAAGTGTGTGTGTACCATACCTGTAACTTATAAAGACCAATAAGCCTTATTGGGACCAAAGTCCTAGTTAGTTGTACCCTCATTTTTAGAGTGTGTGCCTAAGTGTGTGTGTGTGTGTGTGCGTGTACCCACACGTGGAGCTGTTGAACTTTTGAGGCTCGGCTCAGTTATCAGAGCATTCAAGGGATTTAATTAACATTAATCAGAAATCCAAATCCCACTCGGTGAGGACTGATTTCTCCTCATTTGAGGAAACTTCAAATTTCTCCTGTGACTCTGTGTGTTTCCTGAGCTTGCCTGCCTTTGCATTTTTTGAGATGTGTGAGTGTACTTTCTAATCCACAGGTTGCATCTCTAAAACGTTTTCATGTCTCTGTCCTCCTGCCACACACTGGACTTGATGAACAGGCTTCTGCTGCACCTGATGGCAGCAGAGAAGGTAATGCCATCATTTGAATCATGTATGCTGGAGAGACACATCTAAAACATGAAGAACTATGGGGCTTGAGGACCAAGGTTGAGAACTTCTGTAGAGTACTAACTTTGAGAATGGCTGAAACGAATCAAACTGAGCTAAATGACTACAAAATAGGTGGACTTGCTGATGTGGTTTGGATCCCTGTCCTGCAGCATAACCCAAACTGACCTTGTGCTTAAGGTCACAAATTGATGGCTGGACATTCACCTTCAGGATTTTTTGCTTAAGAACAGCAATGCAGCCCCACTCAATCACAATTCCACCACCATGTTTGACTGGTGGTATGATGTACCTTTATTTGCAAGGCTTGGGGATCATTGAGACATTTTTTGCCCAGATAGTGGTAATGGCAGGTACACTTCATATTAAAAGGATGGATTTGAATACTGAAGAGATGGGAGCATAAAAGCTCAAACACAACTATGCTGTTGATTTGCTAAGAAATGTTTTACAATTATTCAACATGCTGCACTGGTATACAGCAGCACATTCAGTTTGGGAGCAAGATGGAAGTTGTGAATCAAATTAGCTTCACCTGAATTTATCAGTATATGACAGTTTTGTGCAGCAAAAGAAAGGTCACATTGACTCAGTGCTTCTATCTCCGTTAAAAATGTTATAGTGAGCCAAAAAAAAAAGTCATATCAGCATCAGTCGTAAAAATCATCTTATGTTGACCCAAAGAAACAGAGACCAATCAGAGCTTTTGGACTTTGTCACACCCTCAAATCAGAGCAAACAGAGCAGATCTGTGTTTTCCAAGGAAGTGCATATGGAGGGAGATTCACTTTGTCTGCGAGCAGCTGTGGTTCTATTAAGGGTTTGGCTCAATGGATCTGGGACCATCTGCTCTGGACCAGCATACAGGGAGCAGAATAGTACAGTGCCAGTGTTTGTCTGGATCTGACTTTTTACATGCTCTTCACACTAATGGCAAACATTCTGCTGCTCAGACATGGTCTTGAGCATGAAGCCAAGCGCTCTGGTTTCCATTCCAGTGTTCAGCTTATTTGATAACTTATGATCAGATGGTGGAGCATTTTAATTTGAATACACATGACTTGTGGTTTGGTGAGATTCTGAGGTCATTGTTCTTAACTGGGATATAAAAGTGTATTGTAGTGGACAGTTCAAGTATCTTGGTGTCTCATTCACAACTGATTGTAGGATGAAGCAATAGATGGGAAGTAAGGGGCTCGTCTGCATTAATACTGGTGCTTCTCTGGTCTTTTGTGGTAGATGATGTTCTTTGGACAGATGAGGCTAAGACTGAATTATTTGGACACCAGATGAGAAGACAAATTTGGCATAAACTAAATACATATTTCCAGGATAAGAACCTTATACCAGCTGTGAAGCATGGAGGTAGATGTATAATGGTGCGGGGATGCTTTGCTGCAGCAGGACCTGTCCAGCTCACCATGACAAGATCCACCATGAATTCTATCGCGTATCAAAGGAAGTTTGAGGAAAACGTGAGACCATCTGTAAAACAACTGTTGGAACCCACAGCCATGGATTAATCAAGATGCGGTACAAACATTTCTGGAACTTTCAAAATAAATTGCATTAACCGACTTCCAGCACAACTTAGAAGGGGGGGGTAACAGCGGACTTCCCATGATGCCAAAAGCACACTCTTTCCACCCGGACCCCGCTGTGGAGCTGGCAGGAGAGACACAGAGCGCTAATGTCTCTTTGCTGGCAAACAGACATATCTCTTCAAACTGGATCCAAGAGTGTCATAATATCACGCGATCATATGCACTAAGTTAAGTATGAATGAATTGCTGTTTGAGTATCCGGTATTCATTCTTGAAAGGGGGTAATTAAGGTACAAGCGTTGCTTGACTTTCTCTCTGAGATCTACAGAAGAAAACTGTTTTCTTCCCAGAGTTTGGTCGGGGACAGAGCGAGCCGTCCCACCCCACAGCTACGGAGGTTACCTGAAGCTAATCTTTTGTTCACAGTGGATGCCTTCTTCAAACTTCGTCGTTGCCCCGACAACTCCTCCTCAGCACGGTTCACATACGAGGTTAGGTTTCGGGCAGAGAGAAGTAATTTAGGATGAAATGATCTAAACATTTTTTTTTTATTAAGTTTGGTTTTGTTTGTAGTGCTAGCAGGCTATCTGCTCAGCACCACGTGCTCAGTTTTGTGTTCTGTGTTTGTGTGTTTTTAAAGTTAAGACAAACTTTATTCAAAGGGTGATTTTAAACACAGAAGATTGATCATAACGCGCCGTCCTCGCCTGTGCATTTTAACCCTTTTATTAACGGTATTTTAAAGGTGTGTGTTTGATTCTGGTAATAAACTATCAGCTTCTTTGTTAGCTTTAATTGCTAACAGCTAAGAACACAGGCTTGCTACAAAAGATCATATACCCAGAAAGGTTGTTAGTTTTCAATCCAGTAAATAATATTTCCCTAAACATTATTTTACTAAACTTGATAACTAAGTAAACACCATTCAGCTTCATTTCTCCAAAAAGATTTGGTTCTTTTCCAAAATATTTCCTTAAATATTTTACCATTTCCTTAATAATATTTCTTGAAATATTATTTTAATAAATAAAGGCAGCTAATGAGACACTGTTGAGAACTGGTCATCCAGAAGGTTGGTTTTATTCAGCAGATCATTCTTTAAAACATTATTTTATTAAAATAATATTTTATCTGATCTTGCATTGTGAATGGTTGTCTAACGTTTGCTGATTATTGCCCAAGTTAGTTCCAAGACTAACCTAACTTCACTTCCAGATTCTTCAATATAATCCTTGGTTCTCAGACATAAATAACATTGTATGGTAATTTTGCATCACTCTTTTGGTCATGATTTTCAATCATCTTTAATCAACTTGTTTATATTGTACATAGCCCATTAGTCTTCATTATTCTTTAATTCTGCTTGGTAGTTTAGTTGGATTGTTTTAGCATAGTAAAGAGTTTGTTGATTGAAATATGTTTGACTTTGAGTTGACTTATTTTTGTGTCATTCCATGTGTGTGCAGAGTTTTGCCGTTCAATAACATCAGAGCTTGGGTCACCATTTTCTATTATGTTCTTATACCACTGCCTTACTGGGCTGGTATTCACAGGACAACTCTGAACAGACGGAAATATTATTTGATAAAATATTAAAGTATTAATATTAAATATTAAATAATATAATCATATTCATAGTCACAACAAAACTGAAAACCGAAGCAGAACTGGACCCTGCAACATGACAATGACCTAATGACCCAATGATGGAAGAATGGATGGACGGATGAATAAAGAGAAAACATCCATAGCAAATAAACATTTCAGACACACAATTTAACCATCAAATTATTCAAATCAAGTGAAATTTCACTGTTGAACAGCAAAATCTCATGTCATGAGCATAAAATGCAAATTTGAGTGTTGAGATAAAACCATGGACCTTGCCTTGGAGTGGACATGAAATTATGCTACGAAGCAGGATATCTTTGTAGACCTAAAACATGCCGAAGAAGAATCAGGAATCCTTTAAGAACCAGAAAACACAATGAAACGCAATAGCTTTCCTTAAAGCTTGAACCTACACTTGCAGATCTTTTTCTACAGCATATTTTAGCCTCTTTTTTTATTCAGCTATAAAAATTCAAAGAAGATGTAACATTTCATGTGAACTGACATTTTAAGTGTTTTCGAATTAAAACCCCAATTACAGCTCAGAGGGAGTTGAAGCATGTGTGTGTCAGGGCCTGTGACTGAGCACACATACTGATTTACATGGAAAACCTTCAGTTTTAGATGTAGACGAACATTGATTTTTTAAATTGCTATAAAACAGTCCAGCAGGATATCATCTTTCTTGCTTTGACGTGTGTTGCACCTTCATAAGGACAAAAAGAAAATGTGACACCCACTATAAAAATCAGGAAATGTCTCTCATGGATTGTCCCATGCTGTGAAATTAGAGGGATTTAAGTGATTTCAACCTACTCTACTGAGAGAATGACAGATCCAATTCATGTTGTGTCAGAGGACATTTTTGTGTTAAATACCACTCCAGCTTTGTAGAAAACATAATGACACTTTATGGACTGTTTTAATATGAACATATCCACAAAGTTCAGGTGGTTCATCAACAGCTGCCACTGTGTTGGTCGATCCAACAAATGAGCAACTGTAGCTCATATTGCTGAAGATGTTGATCTGT